CAAAATAAAATAGGGTGGCTCAAAATACAATAATAAAAGGTCAAAAACAATCCCACTAGTCTAAAAAATTCAAACTCAACCAGGCAGACCGCTAGAGCGCCCAATCTTGCTCTCGAGCGCGCAGACCAACAAAGTTGGCCAGTCGAGCGACCACTCCTACGCTCGAGCGGGAATTCACAACTCACAGAATTTCAGACAGACTGCAAAAGTACTGGAAGCCTCACAAGTCCGCTCGAGCGTCAAATCCCTCGCTCGAGCGGAGGGAAAAATTCTGGATCGTTACATGTTCGGCCTTGCATACTGAACCTTAGGAAACGTAAACTCCTGCGTGTTTTTGAAGTCGAACTGTTTTCACCATTTTTGTCCGTATTTTTGAAAAAACTTACCATTACAAGGCCAACGTTCTCCAAGCTGCAAACACTATCCAAGCTATGAACCTCCTCTAACTTACATTGTTGTACTCCATTCGTCTCATGGAATTGTGGTTACTAGAAAAACATTCACTCATTACTATTGCTAGAGAAGTGTGTATAGTCGAATGGTTGCCACCGTTGTCGTCAAAATATCGCCGTTTGAGGGTTCTTAAGTTTTTTGAGTGGACAAGTGCTGAAGGTTTTGAAGTGTATGGGTGGTGATAGAGGTTGGTGTTCTCATAAATCCTATCTCATGATTAAAGTGGGTGTGTGAGCTTAATTGTGAGATAGGGTATCCTAAAATAATTGATGTCCTCTTTAGTAATTTCATTTGAGGTTATTATTATAATAAAAAATATAAAAAATGAGGAGTCCAAAATAATAAATGAGGTAATAATAGCAACACTCAAGGTGAATACAACAGGCAAAAGGAGCAAACGTTACCATATTGGCCCTATAAGAAACTGTTTTGCTTTTGAAGAGAACTAAATGGTTATTTATTTATTTATTTTTCCCCTTTTTCTATTGTTGGGTAGGGAAGCATATAAGAAATATCAAAAAATAGATGTTATTATGGTTGAGTAAAAAATTGAAAAATTTGTAAATCAACTTGATTCAGACCAAATCATACAGCTTGGTTTGGTTCCTTTCAATGGACGTTTTGGTTCTAATTTTAATATAGGTGAACTATATTTCACGGTGAACCAAACCATTTATACACACGTGTATATATATATATATATAATTAGGGACGAATTTATGAACGGTCCGGGAGGCACATGCCCCCCTCAATTATGCATTTTTTTGTTTTGTTTTGTATATAAGGATTATAATTAACAAAAAAAAAATTATGTAGAAATAACATTTAGAATGATTTCTTAATGGCATTTTTTTAATGAGAAAATTAGTGAAATATTCCTTTCCAACTTTGGGTACTAGGAGAAATCTAATAAATATATTTTTATTAGCTAAGGTCTCTCGATGAAATTTCTCTGCGATCATATTAGAGAAATTTCAAAATTTCTCTATGAAATCAGAAAAAAAAAAAATTTAAAATTTTTCTATGAAAATTGAAATTTCTCTGTGAAAATGTTAAAGGATCCTAACTACTATGAAAATATTATGTCTTTTATCTTATAAAATCTTAATATCAAGGACCTTAAAAAAAAATTCTCCTTTTTTAATTACAAAAATATAGTTGTTTTGATTGAAAATGAAGAAACTACAAAAAGTCACATTATTATGTATGAAAATTTTGTAAAAAAAAATTAGTGCAATAGTGATACCACATCATCATTTAAATGTAAATATAATTAACCCCACTATGAAAATGTGGAATTATTGAATTGTTAATTATATTTGACAAGTGAAATTAACCCTCCATGTGATATTTTATTATTGATTAGTGACACCATATATCGATAATGATGCGGTATCACTATTATTTGTATATTATTATATAATCTATCATAAGACTTATAAGATTATTTTGCATTGCCTATAATACACTATTTGTCAAGACCCGCTCCCTGTACCCAAGGGTTAAGTATCGTGATGGCCAGTAACTGAAATTACCTATGGCCAATTTTTAAACAAATTAATAAACGCGAGCGGAAGAAATATTAAAATAGGGGTACGAAAATAATCATTGGAGCTTCTATTTTTATTACAAAATTTATTGACCAAAAAGGCCGATATTTACATATAAAAAATATCAATAAAAGTGCTATGTGTGTCTATTCAGCAACCTCACATCTAAAACTTTCCAAAAGCTATTTCTGAATTGCATTGTTTCTTGAAAATTGGTAAACAACTATAAGCACATGGCAGAGTGAGAAATATTATACCAAGAGTATAAGAGACACGAAATAACCATGGATAGTTAGTTAGGCCAAAACATTTACGATAACTTAGTCGGAACAAATAATCCGTTAAGTAGCAAAACTGAGATTATGTAAATAAATAACCATAACCATGGTAATTTGGTAAACAAATCATTTAAGTGGCAGAAACTGAAATACATAAATTATGTAAATATATAGCTATAACCACGGTACTGAACAAAACAGAGGTTACAGAAGTGACAATCAGAACAAAGGTACATATTCAAGAGGTGGCTCGTACGGATTCTAGAGGTGGCTCCCACAATAGTGTAGCACTTAGCTCCGCACATAACAGAAGTACTGATTCAAGAGGTGGCTCGTACGGATTCTAGAGGTGGCTCCCATAATAGTGTAGCACTTAGCTCCGCACAGAACAGAGGTCAATGGATCAGAGGGCCACAAAGTAACCAAACAGAGGCCAATAGTTATTTAAATCCCCTAAGGCGTGGGACTCCTGTGGTGGTACTTACAAAACATAATTGTATATAAAGTCATAGCCAAATATTCTTTAAAATATAAACAAACATATCCATGGGTTTCCTTTTAAGCAAATAGGATTCAGAAATAAAACTACGTAACTGAAATATTTATAAAACAGAACTTTTATTAATATACTAATAAAACATAACTTGCATAAAACAGATTTTGATAAGTCAAAACATACGTAAAATACATTTTGGTGACTCAAAGTATAATATCTCACCTTAACTTTAATACCTTACTCTTTCTTTCCACTATACCCTTTCTGCTTCTACTATTTTTTCCTTTCTTTCTTTCTTTTCCTTTCTTCTTTCTTTCCTTTTCTTTCTTCCTTCTTTCTTTTCTTTTCTTTTCTTTCTTACTTCTTTCTTTTCTTTCCTTTCTTTTCCTTTCTTCAGGTGAAACGCCTTCTTCCTTTTATAGGGAGGAGAGACGTGTACGTGGCCCCCACGTGGCTTGACGTTGCTTTCGTTCAGATTTAATTCATAATTATATAGATTCATTCTTATCCTTAATAGATATTTAAGATAATTACCCTTTGACCTAATATTTTAATATAATTGTGTGTGGTTTAGTTAGTTTTGTTTAAACTTGTATTGAGGCTTCGTTTGGGAACAGGCTAATTTAGTAACTTTTTGGCTATTTGGCTAAAAAGGTAGGTAAAAAAAACTTGTATGTTTGGGATGACTTTTTGGCTAATTACGAAAAGATGTGCAAAAAGTAGAGAGAAAAGAGAATCTTTGACTTTTTGGTATGGGTTGTTGGCTTTTTGGCTAATTTAGTAACTTTTTGGCTAATTGGCTAAAATAGCCTCTTGCCAAACGAGGCCTAAATATTTAAGATTTTGTGCTTAATATTAATCAAGAAAAATTATTATCTATTATTATTGATTATGAGAAAAGAATTTTAAAATTATAATTAATAAGTGCCTACTCTGAACAGTTTTTCTCATAATTTGTCATAAACATTCAAGTACCAATTAGTTAACTATGGGCACCTCTAGTGTGTTCCAATATAGTGGTATAAATAATTTTAAACAATTATCTAAACAACTCTTGTTTGAAAAATGATGACATATTGTTGGTGTTTGTATAGGTTGTGAGCAATATTTTGAGATCATGTTCTGAATGATGACACGTTGCTAAATTTTTTTTGTTCCAAATGGAGCCGAACTACATTTTATTAGTTCAGTTTAGTTCAAGATTTTTATAGTTTGGTTTAATTTCAAACTTTATGAAACTATAAATAATAACTTGGTTCTTGGTTTATACCTAAATTGAACCACGCTCACCCCTAGATATTACCTTGGTACACTCAGATAGATAGTTGAGCAAGCGATCAAAAGTAAAGCATACAAATCAAAGGCCGAGGACAAAAACAAAAAATTCTCATAGCCCAAACAAGATGTAAAGTTAAAAGAGAATTATTATTATTATTATTATTGTTATTATTTTTTGGGTGACATCTAATTGAAGCGACTTGAAGAAAAACAGGATACAGTGACTTTTTTAATGACATTTTTAAAAAATGTCGTAAACTTTGTCAAGATTTTTTAAATACCAAAAAAATAAATACCAAAAAAATTAAGGGTAAATTATCAATGTCTTAATAGTTAGATTTAATTCCCATCAAATCCTATTAAAAATAAGTCATACTAAATTATTACTAAAAATAATTTTTTTTGCGACGATTTTTTATATATGTCGTTAAAAATTGATAATTATTAAAAATAATTTTTTTTTTTAAATTTTTAAAAATTGATAATTAAAAATAATAGTTAGATTTTTTTTTATCACGATTTTTTTAAATTGTCGTTAAAACTTACAATTAGTAATATTTTTTTGTAACAAATTTTTCAAATCGTTTTAAATTGAAAATTAATGACTTTTTTTAATGACGATTTTTTTTAAATTGTCACTAAAACTTATAAGTAATGACATTTTTTGTGATTAAAATTTTAAACTATCACTGAAAATTAATAACTAGTGACTTTTTTTTAATAACATTTGATAAAATATATCATCAATTATTATAAAACTTATTAAATATTAAATTCACCTATTAACATATAAGTTCTCAAAAATTAAATATTAAATTCACCTATTAACATATAAGTTCTCAAAAATTAAACTATACCCGCTATTAGAAAACAATGGGTTAACGTCATGGCGTTAAAATAAGCTTATTAAATTATTTTTTATTTCTTTTAAAGGTAGTTGTACTTGTAGGGAATTCAAATCAATTAAAACAAAAAAAAAAAATTCGATTTTGATTGAACAGAGGTGTGACTTTAGAAAGAGAGAGAAATCGAGGCTTGGATCTTCAAGTACGGTGTTAGTGTCTCTGATCATGTACAGGACAAGCAGGCGGTGTTGGATGTGGATCGTTGGAAACGGTGAGTAGAAGCTCAACGATGAAGAGATGTGGATCTTTTTCTCGGATCTACTCTCTCTTTGATCAAATCTGCTTTCTCTTTCTCTCCGATCTGCTAATATGGTAATATCAGATATGCTCTGTCTCTCTCTAGTCCATTATTTTGCCTTTTTTAGGAATCTCATTCTGGCACTCTCCTCACTTCTTGCAACTGCTTGGAAAGAAAAAATGTGATTTACACCAATATCAACCAACTATATGTAGATGATCTGGCTTTTGATTTTGTGAAGCTGTAAGATATTATCTTAAAGTGTTTTGTGGTTTCTAACATCGGTCATTCAACTCTTGGTTTATTTTTTATTTTTTGTTGAGTTACCTAGATCATGGTCCATCAAAAAAGGGGGGAAAAGACACCCTTTGATGGCTTGAAGTTTATTCTATTTAATCTTGTTGCTTCTGCAGTCCATTTAATATGCTTTATGCTTGTCACTAGTATATTTCGATGGAATTCCTGTTTGGGAGTTTATATCATGTTTTAGTTCAGAATTCAAATGTTATTTTAGATTTGTGGTTCATATCAAAATGATAGTTAACAAAATATCAAATTTCAGAAATATATTCGTTGAAATTTTATAAAATACGAAGTATGAAGATGGCCAATCAAATTAAAAAAAAGGGCCATATGTTTGAGGTGTGTTTATTCTGGACATCTATATTCTTGACAGTATTCATGATTGTTAGATATACAATGTTTGATTTTTTATTTTATTTTATTTTTTTATTGAATATAAGGTTGAGCAATGATATTCACACTCCACTTGTGAGAGGCTGAAAGACTAAAATTAGAGTGAAAAGTTTAAAAGAGAGTGGGAATATCATTTCTATTAACGCTTTACTGAACAGGATGAACATGGTTGGTTTTTATTGTATTGCGTACTTGCTCATATTTTGCTTCAATGTCTATTTTTCTTTCAGCTTGAGATCTTCTGTAATTTGGCGACGTGGAGAAGAAAAATATGTTGTAAAAATCTTATCAAGTTACTCTCTTGGTTATTAATATCATAGTAAAAAAAGAACAAGAGGCTGATTTCTTTGTTGTTTATTCTCTCTGTAGCAGTGTGACTACTAGGCTAATTACCACATATGTGGTTGGACTTGGCCTTGGGGAGGTGATAGTGACTGCTTGGGGAGGTAATAGTGACTGCAATGTGATTGATTTCTTTTTTTAATTTTAAATTCATCTATAGTGGCTTCATGTTGCTTGGTCATTAATCTTTGTTTAAGGAGTACTAATTAGTGTTTGGGATTTCTTATTTTATAAGTTGAGAGAGATTCTGTACTTGTTGAGACAAAGCCTTCTATGTTAAAAGGACTAAATCTCTGTAAATGAGTAAATAGTTGATTATGAAATTTTCAATTTGACATTTTATTCATGTTACTTGTTTTTCTTCTTTAAATGCATGTTCAAATATCAAAGAACGAGAAGAAAAAGAAGTAGATTGGACACTTCTTCTTATTGAAGTGTTACTGAGGTCTCTCTCTCTCTCTCTAAATCTCTGTAATGTTACTGTGGATCTTCACTGAGCTTGTTCTGATGAATGTTTTGTGGACATGTGTAATTTGTTGATCTTTTATGGTTGTTGAGTTGGATCTAGTAGTTTTGCTTTATCTGTTGAAAAGCCCTAATGCACTATTTGGGTATTGAGCTATGAAGCATGGGTACTTCAAAAATGGTGTTGTATTAGTATCAGGTACTTATCGGGTGTGGGTACTCGCACTGGTACAGATGCACACATACTGGGTATGGTGAATATATGTTGGGTACGTACGACAAATACGTTTGGGTACGTTGTGGGTACATTTTGGGTATGGCAGGGGTGAAAAATTAAATTTTCTTATATATTAAGGGTACTAGAGCAAATTTTGTGGGTAATTAAGAAAAAATTATAAATTTAGGGGTTATTTTCAAAACATAAATAAATTAGGTTTATGTTATACGCAACCAGCAACAACTCTTTGACTACGAAGAAGACGAAGACAGCTTTGATTTTTCAGTGGCAACGTTGGTTCAATTTTTTAGCTGTTCTTCGATTTTTCAATAGCAACTGTGATTCGATTTTCAGCTATTCTTCAACTTTTCGCAGCAATTTTTCGTAGAGGTAGGTGCTTGATCTATTTTTCTTCGATTCGCCCTCTTCTTCTTCAATTCTCCCTCTTCTTTCCTTCTCCTTCTTTTTCGATCTGTTCTTCTTTGATTCTCCATCTTCTTCGATTCTCCTTCTTTTTTGATCTGTTTTATATATGCATTTTCACTTTTTTGTGTTCAGCTACTAGAATTTGTTGTAACCTTTATTATTCTTCTTTCTTTGAAAATTATCAGGTAATTTGTTTCCAACACCCTTTACGTATGAGTCATGGCTCTGCTTTATTTTGCATCCTGTTTTAGACAATCAAAAAAGAAAAAGAAAGAATTATAAAACTTTTTTTAGACAAGTTGATGTAGTTATCTTTTATTTTTGTTTAGTTTGTTTTTGGCATGAAACTCTTTTTTCTAATTTATTCTATGTGATGACATTTAAATAGCTCATGGATTTACTTTAGTATTGTTGGTATTGTTGAAAAATGATTTATTTGGTTTTGTTATTTCTCTTTTTAATTATGATATTAAACATCGATTTGTATGTTAGATGTTTAGTTAAAAAAAAAAAAAAAATGGCATACCCCAGCCATACACATACCCTACTTTTTAAAGAATTTGCTGTATCGGCATACCCGCACCCCGTATCCGTACTCGCACCTGTGCTTCCTAGGTGCTGAGAATATACCATGCTGAACTGTATGGGGTTTGGCTTAGTTTGATTGGACAGTATAAAACCTTGGAATTTCAATGTTTATATCTTTATGGAGTAGTCATTGAGGTTGATTGTTTGACAAAATTTTGGTTGTTGTATGCATTGGGCATTAAGGACTACAAACCTCTCTGATATGTGAACAAAAGGAACTTTACGTTGTTAAGAGTAATTTTTAGAAATCTTTTTATGCTTTTCTTTTTATTTTGCTTAAAAGTGATTTGTCATGAAGGCAAGTGGATTTCATTGCCATAACATTTTTTTAGCAGTTTCTCATATAAATTTCTAGATAATAGAAGTTTCATCAGTTTGTTTGTTTGTTTAGGAAAGCTTACAAGTTAATAGAGGGTTCTTGCTTACAAGTTTTATGGATTTGCCTTTGTCTGGGTAACGTAGGTCGGCTAATATTTCTAGGAAACGGCGATGACGCCCAGGAACCAACACAGATAGAATTGAGAGTTGGCTATTATTGAAAGTAGGGTCGAAGCTATGAGCAACTAAAAAATTCACACCGAGACTTTCTTTGACATTTGTAATTATATTCTCTCATTGCCTTATGAGGGGTAGTTGCCGATTCATTTTTTGGGTCATTTATGATGTTTTGTCAATTCATCCAATTGGTTGTTTTAGTAATTGAGCCAACTCTTGGCATTATCCTTCATCATCTTGTTCTAATATTTGGATTTAAAATTTTTCTTTCTGCCTAAATACTTCAATTTTGATGTATTGTGCTATTTCTTTGCTTTATTTTGAAGTGTTCAATTTTGATATAATGTGGCTCTGTGTTCTTTCTCAAAAATAAATAAATAAATGGCGTTTTTGTAAAAACACGTCGCTAAATGATGTAATCATGACATCAAACCTAAAAAAGAAAAAAAAATGAAAACATTTCGTTTTTGTAAAAAATATAGCTAAATGACGTAATCGTGAGATAATATGTTATTTGTGACAGAAATAAATTAACAGGTGTTAAGCAATTGCAACGTTTAAAAAAATGTTGCCTATAAGTATTAGCGACATTTTAAAAACGTCCTAAAGCTATGATGACGCTCGCATTAATGATGAAAAAAATAAACATTGCGATAACCTATTATGGCGGTTTTCAAGCCTATAGCGCAGTTTATGAAACGCCATTGATGTTGAATTTTCCTGCAATGTGAACTGAATGATTTGGTTATTAAAGGAAATGGGGAGTGAGGACAACGTTGATGGTTGGGGAGGGAAAATGGTACAATTGCGATGTTATGAACGACAAGGAGGAAGATGCGGCAACAATTGTTGTAGAGGGGAGAAGGGTTGGCTAGATAGGGTTAGGGTTCTTAGGGTTTTGGAAGTACACAGTGAAAATAAGGCATAAATGTATTGTTATTTTAATTTCACTTTAATTTAAAAAAAGCGAGGTTGACTCTCAAAATTAGTGTGTTATACATAACGGAAGTTTATCGGTAGTAATTTAGTCTAGAATAACATAAGAATTCTTTATTTATATTTAAATTATGAGTAAAGTGTTTTGAGCGTAAATTATGGAAGGAAAGTGAACTTTTCCTAAGTTTTTAGTCCTGCTAATTATGGGATTAGATTGGCGACATTCAGTGGAACCTCTCTCAAACATTTATTTTAGTTTCAAGACATGCGATTGATAATTCTATTTACACCATCATTTTAACTCCTTACATTCATAATTCTTTCCTTTTTTTTTTAATTACAATTTTATCATTATTTAAAATTACCAAACAATCCCTTAAAACCTAACCCTAATTTCTAACCCACTCACCTTTTCACCACCCTCTCCACCGGCAACCCCAACTTCCATCTCTGGCGACCTCAGCTTCTATCTTCACCAACTTTGCCATCTTCGGCGACTAACCTCCAACTCATTCTCTTTCCCCAGTCAGACTGGTAACTCCCTTTTCCAATAGTGACCTTTCCCCCACATCTATTGGCAACACACCCCACCATCGTGACCAACCTCGCCACCATCATGACCTAGTTTCTCTGCCCCATTGCGAACAGCACCACCACAACTCAGCTTCGCTCTTCACCGCCTAACGCAAACAATGCCACCACTTCGCCTCATTGCGAACAGCCTCGCCGTTTACCCTCATCATCACGACCAACCTCTTTGCCCTCTTTCACCACCAATAGAGCACGAGAGAGAGAGAGAGACCAAATCTGGAAAAGAAGAAAAAGAAGGAAAAAAAGGAGGAAAGAGAGGGGGAATGAGGGTTTGTAAGGCCTTAAATTTTTATTAATCGAATACATTACCAAATTTCTTTATTAATGTCCATTTTCAAGATATAATTGCGGAAGCAAATAACAATTAACAAACAATAACATTTTCTCTCGTATACAATGATGAAATGTTCAAATACAATAATTACAACAAACACTCTTAGGCTTACATTGAAAAAAAATAAAACGAACAAATAAGTAAAAAGGGATTAACCCTCTTTGAACTGAGTTGGCATGCCGCCTACATGGGCTAGGTCCCATGGCCAATAAATAAAAGACATCTTGGTTTTGAACAATTCTTCAACTTCATACCTGAAAATGATTAACAACATGGGATGGACAATATGTCCTGTAGGAATCCCATTACCTCTAAACAATAGTAGTCAATAGATAAATATGATCATGAATGCACAAGTGATAATTATATAAGTATTGTCATCTTTGTATATCAAAATATATGTACATAGATATATGTTTTCCAAAAGATTTCTTATTAAACCATTCAAGAAAACATTTCTCACTTTTCAAATCACCTTCAAGTATTCAAAAATTCTCTTTTACTTCATTCACCTTTAAAACCCGTACTCACACGATCATTTTCAGTAATTTCATGGTTAATGAACTATACTAACGCTAGAACTACCAACAAGCCGAGTACCCATCACAATACCAAAACCGATTTAAACCTCTATATATAAATACTTCAATAGCACAGTCTCAATGATAATTTCAGTACAAAAATTCATCAACAAGTATCTTAACAAATATACTTGGATCAACGATAAAATTTGAAACACATCAACACCCCGTGGTCTTGCCAAGCCCCACATCATAACCCCACTTTATCGATGGCTAGCCAGAAGGAACACGGTACCTATGTATAGCCCAACCTACTTTACCGGTTGCCATCTGGAAGGAATGCATTACCTCTATATAGCACTGCTTGCTTTATCGGTCACTAGCCGGAAGGAATGCATTACCTGTATATAGCATCAACCCGCTTTATTGGTTGCTAGCCGGAAAGAACACGTTACCTCTATATAGCACAATCACATTTCCACAACACATGCATCTCAACTTTCCTTCCATTCATTCTCATTAACAATGCGATTACAGAAATTATACATAACACATAAGATTTCATTTCAACCTAGCTCACATAAATTTTACAACAAACAATACCATCCTTCACCGATAGCCAATGACAAAATCTCAAGACAAAGAAAACATAAATTCTCATAATCTCAATGTCCTTCACCTTTCCCAAGTTCAAGTAAACATTCACTTTATCCAATAACTTTTATAATTAATTACATTAATCCCACTTATCAACATAATCTAAGTTCATGACAACTATTCATTTTCTATCTCTCTCATTTTACATTTAATTTCACCAATATGCATATAGCTTACTTAATCATTAGAAACACCCATTCTACTAATTTCTCAACCTTTCGTCATATCTAGGTTTCATAAACACTAATTAATCTCTCTCTTATTTTACAACTTCAATTCTGTGAATTTAGCTTAGATTCATCAACCGTCACAAACATAACTACTACTTAATTCCAAATTACTAATCAAGAAAATAAAATTAGGCTTTTTATTTAACTTACCACAACCATATTCTATCAACAAAATACTTTCATAATCAACACCAAACACAAGATTAAACTCATTTAGTTCCAAACCCTAACCCTTAACTATATGCATTTTAAAATCTCTTCCCAAAACTATGTTTTTCATGCAATAAAAACTATAATGTATCTATCTATAGCAAAGTATTGGAAAAAAAAGAGTAAAGAAATCCCTACCTCTTGAAGAGAGAGAAGAAAACTCGAAAATCCACCAACGACGAAGAGACGATCCACTCAAATAAAAAAAGTTCTTGTCGTACTCTACATTTTGGTATATGCAACTAGGATGGGATTCTCACTCTAAGAAGATGAAACCTAAGGTATAAAAGCTTGGAGCATGGAAATGGAGGTGAGAGAGAGAAGAGAGAGCGAAAAGTGGAAGAGAGTTGACCTAAAGAGTGACATTTAAAGAGCTGATCCTGAACAGACCACTTGAGCGGTGAAACATGTGCTCCAGCATAAGAGACAGAAGACCGATCAAGCGGTAAAACTTGTGCTTGAGTGATGATGGCAAACTCCCAATATCTTAGACCGCGAAATGCACATACCACTTGAGCAGATAAACCTGTGCTCGAGCAAACATTTCAAACTCTCAGAATCTCAGGCTGTAGACCACTGTACTGGATGGTTCAAAAGACTGCTTGAGCGCTCACTCTTGTGCTCTAGCTAAGAGAAAATTTTCAAAGTGCTATAACCTTCCCACCTTAGGAAATTTCGTCTCCAAAATTAAAGGTACACCCATACTCAAGGTGCGACAAACACAAAGGAGTTATAACCCTCAACCCAAAGTCTACATCCATACTAGGGATAATTTCCTGGATCCCTGGTCCCACACCTCAGTACCACAAAGACTCTCGAGTGACAAAATCAACAAGATAAAGAATAGTGAGTCACTCTCGACTCGTCTAATATAACAGAAAGAAGAATGTCAATCAAAATAGAGTTCCCTATTATGTATGGGTTTCCAGAGTAACGACTCTAACAAAGTAAGGCCACAGATGTCTCTATGACCCATATAACTCAATAGAGTCTACGAGACTATACTTCAGTTAACGTGTTCCTCTTGCACCCAATACGTCAACCACTTTCCAACCGCATACAAACACTCAAACAACATCAGAGCGTTCGACACCTTGAACACCGAGGATAAAACACACTCACCACAAGAAACTCTCAGTCAACTCTCACAAAGAAAAGGGCTACTCTTATGAAGTAAGGTCCACAAAGATGACTTTTCGACACAACAAGTCTCAACGATACTAGTCTTGTGACAACCCCGTCACATGTTACACTCATATTTACCTAATTATGAATGCTAATTATGTGTTTAATGTGATTTTGTATGCATATCTATTGGTTGTTGGAATATTTGTTATGATTTTTGTTTCGAATTTGAAATTGAAGGCCTTAATGGCTTCAAAAACCAAAATTGATTAGTTTAATTAGAATGGCATAATCTTTAGAGCCTAATGGGAAGTTTGATTAGAATTTGATTCAGATTAAATTAATTAGACAAAATCAATTAGAATTAAGTATAATTAGTTAATCTTAAGCTTGCTTAATTAGTTTAAGCTAATCTAGCCTATATATATGTTAAGTTGGAAGCTTAATTCATAATTGAACTCAAGAATTTTGTTGGAAGTGAGCTTTATAGAGAGAGAGAGAGACTTCATTTTAGAGGGAGAGTACGCTTGATTTTGAAGATATTGCTTGGAGGATTGAAGGATTGTGAAGTAGAGCTCAAGTTTTTGCTAGAATTAATGCAATTGAAGACTTTAGGTATGTGTTTAACTCTTAATTCATGAATTTAAGCCACCAAGTATGTGAATTCAAGAAGATAATGTAGTTAAATGCAAGAACTAAGCTAAGGATGAAGAATTTAAAGTTAATTCATACATGCATGTGTAATTTTGTTGAATTCCATCATTTTGAGCATAATATTGTTACCTATGTTTGAATTGAGGATCATATCATACATGCATCCAAGAATTATGTTGTTTTGAAGCTTAATTCCATGTTTTGAAAGTTGTAGGAAAAGAATTTAAGCCAAGATCATACATGCATGAAATTTTAAGCTTCAATTTAGCAAAATTATGAAGTTTTGAGCTAAAGGTTTAGAATTGGTTTTCTATCCATGTTTTTAGAAGTATATTTAAGGTTAAGATCATGTCATGCAAGGTTTTATACTTTGAACATGTGTTTTGAAGCTCAAATTTAGTTTTGGAAAACCCAGAATTCAACCGCACCGTTCTAGCAAAGAACTTGTTGCTTGAGCGCACATATCATGCATCCAGTAGTTTTGTAGTTGGCTAGAGCGACCAAGTGACCGCTCGAGCAACCTCAGTTTATTTTGCACCTTAGCTTGAGCGACCATCGAGCCTAGATTCAGACCATCCAGTACTTTTGCAAACTATGCAGTCCGCAAGTGACCACTTGTGTGCTCGAGCAAATTGCCCTGCTTCAACTTATTTTGAAAAGTCATATTCTGTCTGTATTTGCATCCACTCTTCCTTCCAAGCATCCTTAGGCACGAAATAAGCCTCGTGAATAACTTAATAAGTAAGAATTGAATATAAAGGAATTAATCAAGAGAATGGTGACCTGATTAAGTAATGTGATCCAGTGTGTGTATGTGTTTGTATGTTATGTAGGTTGATCCACGAAGCGATGTCAACAACCAAATCACTATGAGTGATATCTTAGTAAAGGTGTTTTCTTATATTCTATTTTCTGATTGTGCCAACATGGTAAGCTTTTTTGTACTTATGATTTTGAAAATATGAATGAGCATTTTGTCTGTCTGATCAATAAGATATTTGTAAATGTAATTGACTATGTATAAATGTATTTGACAGACCCTTCTGAGATGTCTGATATGTGTTGACCAGATGGTCATTATACATCTGTAGTGGATTGGACCCTAGGTCGTTCCGTCATGTTATGATCTGTTTTGTTCTGTTTTTTTTTTTTTTTTTGCTATATGTTGGACCAAAGATCATTCTGTCATGTATCCGCTATGCAATGATTTTACTATAAGAATGATTTTATTTATGTAATAGAACTCATTTATATAATCTATTTACTCTGATGTTATTCATTGGATTTTAGCTCACTGCGTTATATATATGTATGTAGGTGAGTAGTGGGATACCCAACCTTGGAGAAGTCTTGTGTGTATCCAAGTTTTGTGGAGTCAGCTAAGGAGCGCCTCATGGAAGAGGCTTTTGTCTTTTGATTTTTTGTTTTCTTTTGTTGGTCATGTTAGATTGAGTTGTACATAAGCTTTTGAGTTTTGAATGTTAATGACTTGTTGTGAATGATCTATGGATATGTAATATCTATTTGACTGAATATGAGTGTAAGTTATTAATATATAAAATGTTTTTGTTCATGCCATATATGCACAAGTTCATTGGACAAATTCTATTATTCTGCTTCCGCTTCTGGCCCCATATAACTAAATATGATTTGAATTTTGTCTGAAACCATAAGTAATCTCATGATTACTGGTCGGTTATGATCCAAACATCTAGGGATGGATTCGTTTCATGATAAGTTTATCCAAGAACTAGATACACAAATACGCACAAGTAATTCTATATTTACACCATTAGTCAACTAAAAACAAAGTGCACAACTACAAGCTAGTGATTCAAGCGGAGCTCAGTACACAGCATCTCCATGTAAGGTTAAACAATTGACTAACCCACCTTGTATTGTAAATATATATATATTTATATATATATCACTACTAAAAATATCACTTTTTGCGTCTATTTTTTTGCGACGGATTATTTGGACGTCCCAAAAAAATTATTTTTTACATTAAAATATCATTTTACTTGACCCAATCGTGTTCTTAACCCAAATAATAATAATAATAATAAAAATTTGTAAAACTTGCCCTGTGTCCCTTTTTTTCTTATTTCCCAAATCTGAACTCTCTCTCTCTCTCTCTCTCTCTCTCTCTCTCTCACTCAAAATCTGTCTCTCACTCGACTCTCTCTTTTGTGTCTCTAGTCTCTCTCGCTCGAATCTCATTATTTCTCTCGCTTGACAGTGAAGATTTGAAGATTTGATCGGTTCATAATCTTCTGTTGATGAAGATTTGAAGATTTCAATCTACTGTTGATAAAGATTTCAATCGATTCATAATCGAGATTCATAATCGGTAAGCCTAAGCACTTCTCTTTGTCTTTCTCTGTAATGTTTGACACATCTTCATCGATTCAACTATGTAGTGGTTGACACATCTTCATCGATTCATCTTCATTGCTTGAATCTTACTCTCTGTAATGTTTGACACATCATCATCGATTAATATGTAATGTGTAAATTGAAAATGAATTACTCTCTGTAATGGTTGATTAATCTGTAATGTTGGAAGGTTGAATCCAACTCTCTGTCTCTCTCTGTAATCTAGGGTGTTTGTTTTATGCCTAGTTGCTGAATTTTTGTGTTGATTTATTCTGAATTTTTCTGTTGATTTCGATCGTTCTTTAATCTGTGTTGTTGATTTATTAGGTGATTCCTCTTGTTTTTGCTAATATAAAGTTATACAGATAGTTAGAGACATGATTTTGGTGATTGATCTTGTTTTTGCTAATTTGTTAGCTTATTTCTGGTGTTTTACCAGATTCTATGAATGAATATTAATCATAGAATATTAATCAAAAATTGATGAATGAATATTCTTAAATAACCATGGCAGTTAGTGAACTCCAGTTCAAATTTCCTCTCAAAATCTCCCCCAAAACACATCAGCACAATCTCTATAATTCTTTGTGATAGCTTTGTCATTTGGCTTCCGTACTCTCTCAGTATCTCACTAGCAAAAAGCAAGTACATACATAAATAATGAACACAAGTTTAGTAGAGGTGAAAGAAATTTTTTTGGGTGGGTGAGTGAAAGAAAATATTGAAAGGTAAGCATAAAAAACAAAATCACATTTTGTATAGCTCAACAGATAATGCATTGACATATATGCATAAAGGCAGGAACAATACTTGAAATCTAGGAACTCTAAGAAAAGAACAAGTTTCAGAATTCATTTTGACTTGAAAGTATGAAACACACATACATACAGATATGAACCTCATGACAGAGTTTATATATTTCTTAATATTTGAACTACATTACAAATTTAAAGAGAGAAGTCCTTTTAGAACTATCCAAACTTGAGTTTCTATGTTGACTCCTTTGACTAAGCAATCTCTGGATAATACTTATTTGTTTATTACTTACTTGTTCATTCATTTTCTTTGATTGATCAGTAACACAAGTTCACTGATATTAATATACTAGAATTGAATTTCTTCCCTTTGCTACCCAAATACCATCCAAATGTTCCCATCTCAGACAGATGACCAGAAATTGTATTTGAAGATGAACTAAAACAGGATGACCTTCAATACTAGAACATAACCACTTTCCAGGTTCCTCCAGAAAAGGTCCCACAATTCCTTCAGTGGAGGAAGGCCCTACAGAGTTAAGTGTACGGCAAGTAGTTTCTTTTTCCAGTGTAATGCCATCACTTCAAGACCAAACATCTAAACACCCCAACATCCTAATATTTTTAAAAAATAAATAAAAATGATTCAAGATATTTAAAACTCTGTCCTTCCTTCTGTTTCTTTAGAACCTCCTTATTTATATGTAGTAACATTCTCAATGCTCCAGACTGACCTGCCCTTTACTAATGAAAAACCATCTCTCAATATTTAAATAAATAATTAATTTAAGTAACAATAATAATCAGAAATGAACATATCCAAGATGAGGATGTTGATTTTAAAATTAAAAACAAGTGATAAGCACAAACACGTTGAACAGAAATGGATAATGATGCTGACAAAAACCAACCATATTAAATTAACAGCTAAAAAACATCACCATTTGTAAGAATTTATGTAATTTATGTATTATTGATTGATTGATTATTGTACATTTTGTATATTACAAGGATGTATTATATAGGAGAAGTTTTGGGAGTAGGTGAAGGTGGTAGTGGTAGGTGTAGGTGGAGTGTGTGATAGTGGAGGTGGTAGGTGGAGTGTGTGATAGTGGAGGTGGTAGGTGGAGATAAATTCTAACACCATTTTACATTGTTGGTGTAAATTTAACAGAAATCCAACTATTTCTCCTATGATAGCACTTTACATAAGGACATTATTGCCACCCTGATTAGTGATTATAATGTAGAAAAATGGATACCGTAAGTGACCTGAATGCAACTGAATGTGGCTTTCCTAAATTGTATCAAAGAGGTCTGATCCATTAACTTGATTGTATATATAGCATTGCTCTCACATGCTTGATTTCACCTCATTTAATTCCAGATAATTTGATGAGCCAAGAGGTAGTTTTGCAGATAGAAAAGGAAACTGCAAGCGCTGCAGCAGTTTGTAGCACAGGGAGCTTGTTTCCAGAATTAGACTCCATATCTGTAGCAGCATCTGTAATTCAGGTATGAGAAAGATCAAATATCAACGATGATAAACTATGCATATTTTACCTTGGTCATTGTATTTAATCCCACAATAGAATTGCTGATTTCTATGGGTTTGAGAAAGGGCTATAGAATTGCTGATTTCTATAGCCTCGGTTGAACTCACTGTAATTAATCCCACAATCAAACAGGGCTTCATATTTTACCTTGGTCATTGTATTTACTTCCTACTGCACTTGCAGTCAAGCTCGAATGTGAATCCTCATTTTGCTTCTCAAAACTTGAGATTAATAATGTAAACAATGACAACTGCTTTTAGGAAGTGAGATGATTCTATGTATGATGAACATAACAAATTAGGGCAAAAACATTGTTCCATGAATAGTGAGCAATCAGCAATTCTATAGAAGTCCATAGAATCAGCAAGATGTTAGATTGATTTCATTTCTGGCCATACCGACTTTGTGGACTTTATTTCCTCAGTTAGCTAAGTAATCTGTTAGTTTAGTTTTTAACTAGAAAGTTTACTACTTATTACTTAACCTAGAGCACCTTAACAAAACATAGAAAAAGCCAGTGGGGATTGGAACAAATCAGTTAAGTTGGGTTCATACACCTCTGCTGTTTTGATATTTCCTTGATTCTAGTGAGGTAAACATATGTCTGATTCTATTTTGAAACTTCAGCATACATGTCAAGCAAGGGCTTTTTCGATTTCTCTTAAGCTCCTATGTCAATTACCCAAGTAGACAAATACAATCATCTTGTTGGTGTAACCAAATTGCTTTTATAGTTCCATGGTTGCATACCTTGCTCTTAGTTTATCATTCTCTTCTGAATTCTCATAGTAGGACTTTTGCATATTATCTAGTGATAGTTCTTGCAGCACCTTTGTTTTACAGCATAGTTGCGAAGATTTTGCTCTTCCATTCTTCATATATTTTCTTGGTCCTCACAATCTTAATCATTCTAGTCAGCCAAACAGTACCATCATTATTTTCCCTCTCAACCTTACTCATTGGCTTTGAGCTTTGGGCCTTTCTTCTTGGAATGTTATATGACACATTTTCAATCCTAGCCATGCTTGTAAAGAAGATTAAAATAAAATGCATGCAATGATAATTTGTTAGATCAATTAAGATTGCCAAAGTACAAAACTGATCAACTTTATAGTGTTATGAATATGTTTAAGGTTACCTGTTTACTCTGCTGCTTGAGTAAAAATCTGACCTCCACTAATTAATATGTAGACGTGCTGTCCTGGAACAAAAGCACTTGATTTAGAAGAAGATGATAAATTCTATGAGGACTTCAATATGGATGAAGTTGACTTGAATATTGAGAACTATGAAGAAATATTTGGTGTAGCTCTTAATGATCCAGAACAACTGTTTGGTAATGATGGAATTGGTAGCTTGTTTGGAGTGAAGGACATGTCTGGTGCTGATTTGAACCATCGAGGCACATATGCAGCTGAGGTACTCTTGCTTTCTCTTATGTTGCTTAATCTTATCCTTATTATTGTCATCAGCTATAATCGGCTCATTTGTTTGTTGTTTTAGTCTTTTATCTCTTTCTGCTTTACAATGTGTCACTATCAATGCATAGTTCTAAAATCTTTGTCCCATTGAGCTGTGAGAAATGGAACTTTGTTCATAAATATTGCTTTCTTTCCTATCTACCAAATTTTGGTCAAATGGAATGTTCTTGGTGGATATGGTTTCTTTTGGTATATGCATGAGCTTTGTGCCCCCTAGTGACTACCTATGGGACTTGAACCCATGACCTCTAGTCCATCAGGCTACCACCCTCGGGTGATAATGAAACTTGTCACTCAGTTCCAATATTTGACTGGTAAGTGCAACTTAGGTTTCCTGCACTTGAATTATAGTAGTGTTTGTATGAGTAAACCTTCCTTTGGAACCTCCATAGAAAACCCCCCACCATAGCTTACTGTTACATCTCACAATTTTTGATGTTCAAATTGTGCCTTTGGCACTCCAATTACAGCTCCTTGCCTCCAAGATGTGAGTTCATGGAAATTCATGAGCTTGGGAAACTAAAATGGAGTTCCAGTGGGGCTATCCTATTTATAAACCAAGAGAATTTGTTAACAGCGCAAATATTTTGGAAAGTAAAAGATTTCTGGAATTGGGATGTGAATTATAATGGGCAATAATATTTAATATTGTTGGCCATGCATCTTGATTCTTTTTTTATCTGTGAGTGTGCGTTTGTTTTCAAAAAGTGCCCTGTGGTTTTCCATTTGTCATTGGAGTGGAGTACGTAATGATTTCTTTGCATAAACACTTGAATGATTTTGCATGGATAGCACGAGGAAGCATTGAATTTCTGACATGATTATTGCTTGCCAAACTGACATAAACACCTCTCCTCCCCTTTCAACACCTGTCAATCACGTTCTAGCAAACATTTCACACTTGCATGTATGTCATCAAATATTTCTGCCGGAGTGTCTGAATAAACGCTTATGCTTTCTCTCATTGAAGTACTACCGAAACCCCTTGTTATTTGTGAGTTTACATCTGATTTAAAATGCACTTATCTCCAAATGTTGCTTGTTTTCCCCAGGGGTCATCAATTGGACTAGTTAAGTCAATGCAGCCGGCTATCAACAATCCGGCATCTGCTGATTCCGTGATAAGCTCTAAAACTGATCCAAACCTTTGCTTTGCAATGCAAGCCCATTCCCGCATCTCATTTTTTGGTCTTGGCGTCGAGAGCAGTGCTGCAGATCATCAAGACTAGTGCTTCTCCAATGGTTCTCATGGGACAGCTGCCTCCATTGTGTCCTGAAAGTTCATTCCCTTCAACAAGTAGGAGCAGCGCTGTTATGCGTTACATGGAAAAGAAGAAGACATGCAAGTAAGAGTAGAGTAGTTTTTTTTTTTTTTTACACTTCATTTAGGTTAAAAAAAGAAAAGAATATTGTGTGGACCTAGGAAGCATGGATGTGTATTTAATTCACTTTCAATTCTTTTTGATTGTTTAGTTCTTTGGTTTAATGGAAAGTATATTTTGAGGTTTGTGATAGTTCCGAGGAAAGAAAAACAAGAAAGTGTAGAAGAAGTGTTAATGCGTGAATGTTGAGATTTTATTAAGGGAATAAATGGAAGATAATGCATGAATGTTGAGATTTTTACAAATATGTCTTTACGTTTATTGTATATAATATTTGAATATATATATCTATATTTATACAAATGTAGGTTTTTTTTTTTTTTTTTTTTTTTTTTTTTGGCGACGGTAAGAAGATGGTTGCTAATACATTGTAGGCATTTTTTAAACTCTTTTGTGACAGCAAAATATCAGTCGCTATAAGTAGGTTAGGCGGTCGCAAATAGTTTGCGACTGTTGTTTTGCGGTCGCAAAAAGTATATGCCACCTCCACATTCACGACCCTCATTTGCCGTCGCAAAAAATCTTTTGCGACTGTTTTTTTACTATTTGCGACGGCTTATAGCGGTCGCAAAAAATACTTTTTTAGTAGTGTATATTTCTCATTTCCCTTGAAAATTCTTCTTCATTTACCAAAGTAATCTTCTCAAATTTTCTCAAAAAGTGGACATAGTCGCCCCACATTTACTAGAAGTTTAAAATTTTCATGTGAGGTCCAAAATCTTTACCAACATTTTCCACGAATGATCACAAATATTTATTTTAATTAGTCTATCTACTAAAATATTCCTGTTCCACTTTCTAAATTTAAATTTATTTGTAACTTTTGACAGAGATTTTTTTTAATAAAATAAATATTTTGGAAATTTTTTCGTTGAATTTTATCAAATAATATATTCATGTTGAGTATGAAATTCTTTTTTAAAAAAATGAAATTTTACATTATAACAAAATAAATCCTAATTTTTTAATTTTGTCAACTTAAATCCCATTTGAAAATATTATGATTCAAATTGATAAAATTAAAAAATTCGAAGTGTAATTTGTTAAAAGGGTCAAACTTATCATTTTTTTTAAAAATGATTTTTCCAAAATTATATTGTTCTAAGTTTAACATTTAAATAATAAAATTCTACTACATCCACCATCTCAAACCATCACACATACTATCACATCTCTAGTGAAAATATTAAAGAAATAATTTATCAAAACAATGAAAATGATGATATTAGCAAAGTAAAATTTTATTACGTTAATCTTTAGATTGAATAGTAAAATTCCACAACGACTATCACAATTCACCACACTCATTGCCATTATTACTATCACCAATAAATATATTTTAAAATAAATTTATCATTATCAAAATAGTAAAATAATAAGATTGTGTAAAATTTTAGAGTGTTAACGTTACCTGAACAGTAACAAAACAACTTCCGTCTAGCATCGTCGATGGAAATTTTTATACTCATTATTATATAAAATAATTTTTATCAAAATTACCTATTATCAGTGGATATATTAATTTTTTTTATCAAAATAATAAAATAACAATATTAAAAAAATAAAATTTTAGCGTGTTAGTTTTTTTGATAATTCGATTTTCGGCCTAATGGACTGACTAATCCAAGAGATCAATCCCACCGTCCACTGATCGAGACTCCAATTAAAGTTAAGGCAAAGCCCCATATGAATTGACCACAAAAAAAATATTTATACTTAGCAGATTTTGAATCTGAGACCATGAAATGAATACACCCCAGACCCCATGCTTTGACCACCATGCTAATCTATTGGAGTTGATTTTAGTGTGTTAATAACATTAAAATTTCACCACCAGCATTACAAAACCATCACACACATTTTTTTAAATGGCAAATTACACCGGTAGTCCATATACTTTGTTACTTGTGTCATTTTAGTCCTTATAGTTTTAATTAGCTCAATTTTAACCTTTCATTTTAAATTTTGCATCAATTTGGTTTAATTGATAACGTCGTTAGGGTTTTTGACAAAAAACAAATCATTTAATTGGTTGAAGTTAAGTTATTGAATTGATTAAGTTTCTAATTTTACTTCTAAAAGTATAACACATGCTGCACATGTACACATTTATAATAAAAAAAAATGCTACTAATTGTAAATAATTGGACCAATTTAAGACAAAATAAAAAAATTGGGATCAAAATTGATCCAATTAAAATTATAAGGATCAAAATAACATAATAGCCAAAGTATACGAACTAATAGTGTAATTTATCCTTTTTTAAACTGTCTAACTGGGTAAGAAAGCATGTCTGTCATACAGGAATTGTAACAATTGTTAACAAGAGTATATGCCAGCTAATTGATGTTGATGGTGATCTGCCATGGAGGTTTTGACCTCATTAATGCTTGTGTATTTTATGGTTCTCGACACTTTATCCACAAATGGAAGGATAAAACAGTCCACAACTTCTAAATATGTGAGATTATTTGGTATAGTTTCTGTTGATAGTTTATTATAAAATTTAAAAAATTAATTTTTAAACGTCGAGTGAAGAGTGCTTTCAATTTCTACTTTTGCATTATCAATTTTTAAACTTACTATTGCACCAAATAACACCTTTGATTAATTTACAATGTGTCCTTTAACTCTAAAAAAATCTAAACCAAGGGATCTTAGCCACTAAATTTTGTAACAGAGTCATTTCAATTTTGTATGGTACTTTTCACCAAATTATCCATTAGATTGCTTGCAGTCAAAGATTTGGACTCGATCAGTCCAGTCCGAACTTTTGGGCCCATCATTGGTTTCATTTTGATTATCATTTATTTTTTAGGCCTATATGTGTAGAATATCTATGAAAAAACTGAATTAATCCAATAATGAAAATTATATGATTGGGAAAATTACATTATCCTCACCTAAGCTTTTGAAAAAAATATAATAAGACCTATAGTTTTAACATAATTACATCGACCTTTATTTTAGCAAAGCTAAAGTGATCTTGATTAGTGTACATGGTATGAAGATACAAAGATATGTAAACTATACATTTCAGTATAAAAGTGATGAAAATATATGGCAATATCATTTTTTTATTCATATGATTAATAATTTTCGATAAAAATGCAATTAAGTGTCATGTGAATTTGAACCATAAGAGAGTCTAATGTAACATTTCTTTCTATGTTTGGTTCATTAGAATGAAAGTGAAGAGAATGAAATGTTCATTCCTCATTTCGTTTACAACATATTTTTTAACATTTCTTTAGTGAACTAAATATGATAATGAACATTTTGATAGAATAACTATTCTGGTCCACTTTAATTTTAATGAACTAAACCTACCTCATGTTACTAGACCTTTTAGATTTGAGAAGACCTTTTAGATCCTGAACACAAATTAGTCTTCATATCTTCTTGTTTAAATCTTGCTTCTGTGCTTATGTTTGTGCAGGCTGTTGCGTGGTATAGTTTGGGGGTGAAAAATGCTTCAAAAGTTATTAGACTCCACCTGTCTATCTATCTGTCTTTTCTACCTACTGACAGAAAGGAATGCAAAATTGAATCAGAAATAACTTGCTGAGTGTTCAAAGCTATAGAAATGGATGATAGCAGAAGAGGTGACCCCTTGGATCTCTCAACACAAAGTATTCTCATTAAAAGATATAGAAATTAACAAATTCCTTTCCATTAATTAAAGAACAGCAGTATACCAATTTATGGGTGAAAACTGCTCAAAGGTGAAAGTTTTTCAAGAATTGTATGTGCATGTTTCTATCACTGCTCATAAGTTAATATGTTCAAAACATCTGTGTCCATCATTTGACAAATTTAAGTCCAATTAAACAACAATTTCACAAAATTGAAACACGATGAAATTTATTGAAACTTAAATTTCAAAATTCTGGATGTCTAATGACACTAGGGTAATGCCCTTTTCTTTTTCTTTTTTTAAGAGAGCATCATTACAAAAAAAAATAAATAAATAAAAATCCCAACTAGGTGACTCATGCTACTAAGCCAATCATATGCTTAAGCCAAAGGCCAACAACCCCTAAAACACCTACTAAGACGGATGCAGAACAATGACCAAGATTGTAGCAGCAACTAGACAACTTTTCATAATGCTAGGATCCACTCCAAAAAAAAAAAAAGCAGACAGCAAGACACCAACTAGGATAACAAAGCTGAAAAACATGAACAATGAGGACTCAACTACCTACACCAGCCAAACTGAGGCAGAACAATGACCAAGAATGCAATCCTGCCACATGAACTCATCCATCTTCCAAGTTGAATCAGTCCCTTTCATCATCCAAAGCTGAATCACCATTTACACCACTAAGGACAAAGACGAAGAGAGCAGAGCCATGTCAAAAGAATACTTGAAAATCCACAGTTGCGTAACCTAGCAAAGCACAAAAGTCCCTCACCTTTTAAAGGGAAGTGTAGGTCTTTGACTTCTTTCATCTTTAAGATTAAATCAGCAACTGTATAGCAAGGGATAATTCAGTGTGCTTTTAGCCAAGTTGCAACTTGCTCTTTAATTATCTCCAAGACATTTTCCCAAGAAGCTTCACCATTATTAAAGACAAGGTTATTATTTCTGGTTTTCCAGATGGTCCAAAAAATTGTCATGGATGGGTTTAGCCTCCCATAAGAGCTTTTTGACATTCTTGAATTTCAATCCAAACCACAAATCAAGGCATTAACCGATGAGGAACAACCCATTTCATTACCCACCAAGACAAACAATCACCTCAAATTTCCAAGATCTCCTACAAAGTAACAAGAGATGATCCAATTGACTCTGACTCATTCCGACAAATATATCAGAGCCCAGAACAGGATTCATCTAGGGCATTCATTTTAACCAAAAAGCAAAAATTCTAAAGGGGGCAATGCTTTGCCACATAAACTCTATTGTAGGAATAATACAACCTCCAGATGAGGCAAACAGGTTATGTAAAGATTTTACTGAGAAGTTACCTGATGGATCACCCCTCCAAATTAATTGATCCATTGATTGGCATTAAGCTGATCAATCTGTGGCAGCATTTTCAATAACCTATGATGGCATTCCTCCTTCTCGTCCCATACAAACAAAGTCTTCCTATGTGAGGTACACATGTTATGAAATCATTAATGAGACCATCTTTGTTACATCAGACACCCATTTATCAAACAAAAAGAGAAATCTCATTCCATTTCCCCAATTTCAGTAGCACAATAATGGAGGCATGTTCAGAAGAAGAAAAAAAAAAAAAAAAAACTGCATTATCCTTTAAGCAATGAAATTATGAAATATCCCATCTCTTGTTGTCCAATTATACTTTACAAAAATCACTCTTTTCCGAAGGGGATTTGACTCAGATGCAAACCTCTACCACCACTTAATCATGAGAGCTTCATTCTTAATTTTTAGATTAGAACTACCCAGAACCATAAATCTATGTAATGAATCTTTCATCATATGAGATTATGCTCACTGTAATTTTAGTCACAGGGTTAATATTCAATGTTTTTTGGCTTGATTTGTTTTGACAAAAAGACTCGCATTAAACTTATGGTAGGCAGGGCTGAAGAGGTTGTTGAGAGATTATAAAGTATTATGTACTTTCCTTTGCCATTTCAGGCACAAAATTACTAATTTATGCAGTAACTTTGTTCATATGATTGAGTTTAGAAGGTGAAATCTTCTCACCCATCTCTTTTAGAAAAAAAAATTCTCCAGGTGTACATGACCTCAGCAGAACTTGTAAGTCTTAGATACTTCAATCTTTAGTTTGCTCCTTCACTCACTCTCTCTCTCTCTCTCGGAAAAACTCCGTTGAATAACCTAAAAAGGACATCTAGCAATCATTGCTGCAAAATGTGAAAAGCTGCTGAGTGTAACTAAAGCCAACCAAAACGAATCAAATTTCAACACTCAGATTATTTGATGAACAAAACTTCATTTTTTTGGAAAGTCAATATAAACCAAAGATCAAAAGTAAATACATAGTACAAGGGGCATACATGGGCAATACAAACAAAGATGGGAATTGTCTAAAGCAAGCAAAAGATAAGGACAATACCATTTAGCCAATCTAGGCCTTGTTTACATCTGACATGAACATATGTACAACAGATACAACATAAAGACCATGAGGAGATAGCAATAGCTGCACAGAAAGTCTAGAAAGTCGAAGAAGCAACAACAGTAGCATCAGCATAAACCAGTCAATTTACCACTGAGCTTTTATATATGACACGTACAAAAGCAGCAGCAGAAAATACAATATGATAAAAGAAGCAACTCAGTTTACCAAAAAAGCAAAAAAGAAAAAAGAAAAAGCAACACGACCAGAAGCAAGGAAACAACAACAACAATACAGAATCATCAAGCCACTGCATTCTTTAGGTCTTCAACAAGATGCAACATTTCTTTAAGTTAGATGCAACATTTACTTCACCGGACGCAGCAGAAAATGATTGAAAGAGTTGATACCATCCTTTGGTAGCTCTTTTGGTTTCCCAAGAATAGCGGTAGCTGGGGCAAAGCAGATAAATGAATATATTGAACCTGGAAATGAAAACAATAACAACAATGACAAATAAACATTTGACAAGCATCTACTGAAACTTACACCTTGAACAACTTTTACTAAAACCTGAAAACACCACAGGGAAAATAATAATAATAATAATAATTGTTGAAAA